AGGGAGCACCGAGGGGACTAGTTAGGCTGTACAGATGCTGCGGTGGACCAGGCAGCGTTAAATCCTTTCCTCCCAGAGAAAAGATTGCTGTGGACACATACAGGCATGGAGGGCAGGAAGGGTGTGCCCAAGGTGCACAGAGAGCATCACTATGTCTGTTAACCCAGTGAAATGAAGAGAGGCAGAGACAGAGATCGGGGGACGGAGACGGACCAGAGTAAGCGTTGGACAAGGGAGAACAAAGAGAAATCCTTACAGAGCCCACGAGAGCTGGGGCGACAGTGCTGTTGATATGATCCACGGCCTGCAGGACCCCTAAAGAAGGGAAGAGACAGAAAGAAGGAGAAAGAGAGAGAGAGAGAGAGAGACAGGGTGAGGCAAAGAGGAGAGTGGAAAGAGGAAGGGAGAGGACCAATAGAGAGACTGAGAAAGGGAGACAGCGAGGGAAGGTCGAGGCCTGATCTTTCACTTTATGCTAGGTCTGTGCCTCTGTGGTCTCTCTGAGGGCAGCGGGACACATCCGCATCACGCCAGCGGATGAGCAGGACCCTCCTGCAGAGCCCCACATATGGGCAGCCCCAAGGACGGGGTGTAGAGCAAGCATCTCCCCACCTTTTCCAAGGAAACGTGACTTGTCATTGTCTCTCAGCTCCAGTGCTTCGTAGATACCAGTGGATGCGCCGCTGGGGACTGCCGCTCGAAACATGCCTGGGAAACAGGAAAACAGGAGCGTGAGACGAGCAGAGGGTGAAGAGGAAAAACCCTCATGCACCTGCTTCTGCCCTGCTTTCATGGAAAAAGAGGTAGCAACTTCTTGTGAAAATGGATGGCCCTGCTGGCTGGCTGCTCCTGGCTGTTCTTCTCAGAAGTGTAACACCTTGGTGGCAGAAATAAATGCAACCAAGGGTTTCCAGACTAAGGAACCTGGATCTCAGGTACCCAGAGGTCCACACTGATCCCAGTACTGTGGATGATGGGTGGAGGTCTGGTTCCTCAGCCCTGCTTCTGATTCCAGAGGCAGCCTGAACCACAGCCACCAGCAACTTCCTCCCCCTCACACTGGGATTGGGTTTCTGCCTCACTAAAGAAGGAAGAGAATAGTTTTTTGCCTGCTCCTCACCATTCAGTTCACACAATTTTGGGCCCAGCATCGATGCAGATCTTCCAGTTGAGACACATGTGCATGGACATGCCTGCACAGAGATCTCAGGGTCAAATACCTTTACCCCTGCCATGAGCATGGCGATGGATGTGTTACCAAACTCGTACTGCACCCCAGGACTAAAAGCATAGTTGCAGCAGGGCATCACAGGGGTGTGACAAGAAGGTGCATATATTTATGTAAAAAAACCTTCCATCCTGCTACCAGCAGGTGCATGGCTAAAGTCACATACACAGCAGTCAAGTCCCATCTGTCTTGTCATGATTTTCCCAGCACGAGTGCAGAGTTGCTGAGCACAAGCACATGCAGAGCCACAAGCAGAGTTTTGGTCTTTGCCTCTTCCCCTGGCTTATTGTCTGCTGGGGGTTCACTGGTGAAGACCCTCCGTGCTCTCAGCGGAGCGTGCCAGGCTACTGCACAGCTCCGGCTCTGCAAGGGTGGGCAGGGCTTTCCCTCCATCTCTTGTCCTCCCCCACATACCTTTGTGTGTGTACAGGTCCACCTCCACGGTGGGGTTGCCACGGGAGTCCAGGATCTCCCGGGCATGGATCCTCTCGACTGCCATAGTGAGTCTGTGGAGAGGAGACAACAGGACACATTCAGCCCTGAGAGGCCCCAGGATGTGGTACTTACCCTTCTGTGTCTAGGCATTGACAGAGAGAGGGGAGCTGAAGGAAACGTGACCTTATGAGTTTGGGCTAAAACTATTGGCCCCAGGAAATGTAGAAATTCACCCAGACTTTTGGGAATCTACCCACAATCTGTTTTGTCTAGGAACAGTGTATCTATTTGAATTTACTCTGTGCCTTTGCTGCAGATGACAAACTGGGAGTACTCTCTCCCTCTCTCCCTGCGTCACGGCAGGGTGGCTGATATGATCCCAGGGTTGGGGAGGGTGCCACAACATCCACGGACAGCAGAGAGGGAGGGATCAGCTGGCGCAGCGGGGAGGTGCCCCTGGCTCTGGCGTCAAGGACAGGGCACCAGCTCCTGGCATCTCCTGTCCCCTTGCCGGGAGGCGAGGACAGTGCTTGCCTGGGCCAGGCAGCAAGCGGCTGTGCAGTGAGCCAGTCAAGAGCGATGGGCAGGGCAGGGGGGCAGCCATCCTGTGGGGACCCTCAGCCCCTCTCCAGCCCATAGCAGGGGAGCTGCCCCAGCCTGGCTCTCACAGACCCCCATCCACATCGCCCCTGCTGAGCACCCAGCTCAGCCTTCCTGTCTCCCCCATGAGCTGCTGGGTCAGGCTGTGCTGAGGCAGTGGGAGCATGGAGGCCAGCAGCCCGGGGAGATATCCTGCTGAAGGCCATGGTGCCTCAGACATCATATAGAGGGCTCTGAAGGAGGGGGGACCTGGCCCAGATGCCAAACTTTCACTCTGTTCCTGAGACAGGGAAGTAGATGAGACTGGGAGGTATCTCTGTTGGATGAAGAGAGGAAGGAGCCTGGTGTTTTGGGGCATCTGGTTAAACCTGAAGTAGAAAACAAGCTGGTGGGTGATGATGGCTGTTTGAAAGAGGTTCTCTTGCTGCAGTTTGCTCCCTAGGGGGTGCAAACCATCTCATTCCCACCATTCCACCTTCTCGTTCTCCCGGCTGTGGGGCTGTGCAATGCCAGGGTGCTGCAGCGAGGTGCATGTTCCCCCACGCTCCCAGCCCTGCCAGGTTTCCCCCCCACCGGCTCCCACAGATGATTCACTGAACCCCCAAGCAGGGCTTGCAGATGCTGGAGTGACCACGGGGCCCCAGGCAGGACCTCTCCGTGGTGTGTGGGAGCAGAGGCACAGCCAGAGCAGGGGCTCAGTGCAGGGTGGGGTAAAAGCACATCATAGCCCTAGGGGGAGCTAAGAGGTGGGAAGCCAGGGTCAGCACTCGACCCCACTGCCCTGGGTGGGTGGAAATCACGGGGGTGTGAGGAAATCGTGCTGCTGCTCTGAAGTTTCAGCCAGAGCTTCCCGTATGTGGGAGTTTCAGTCAGCGACTCCAGGGTTCCCTGGAGCCTGCACAGGGCCCTTCACCATGTCCATCTGGGCTGGGATCCCCCATCAGATGCTTTGGCAGTGCTCCTCACGCCATCTGGCACACGCCACAGGAACTTCCTCCAGAGCCATGCCTGTGCAGCTGCGAGCTTCATTTGCAGGAGTGTCCTGGCCATGCCTCAACAGCCTCCATGGGGTAAAGAGGGACAGTAACCCATTTAAAGTGAGCTTTGACAGCAAGACCCGTGCCAGATGCAGTGCCTTTCTGCTTATGTGGTCACGTTGTCCATGGTCACATCCCTCTGGCCACATCCACCTGCTCCTGTTGGAGCCAGCTCCGAGAAAGCCAAATGACAAGCCAAATCCAGCCTTGCTTGCCCCACCCCATCACTCACATGATCTCTTTTCCCTCTAGTCCTTTAAACCTTTTACTCCACTTCTGTTGCTGCCCCGTGTCCCCCTGAGCTTGCCCTGCTTTGAACAGTGCAAAGAACCACCCTGAAATCCCTGGCATCAGCTGCACTGTCCAGAAAGGAGGTCAGAGGCGGATAAGCCAGGATAAGGGATTGGGATGGAGCCCATAGCTGGGAAGCCATAGACCACAGCCAGGGGGAGAGAGGAGCCAGGGTGCATCCCTGTGCATCCCCCCATGAACAAGAGCTGGGCAGCACATCCCGGGAGGCTGGTCCTGCTGCAGTGCCTTCCCGTGGACACCGCTCCGTGGCACTGCCTGTCATCAGGGCAGCATCTCGCTGTAGCTGGTGCTGGCAGCAATTCCCCCTCCCCACCTGGCGGGCCAGCACGGTGAAGACCTTCTCCCCAAGCCACTGCCACCAGTCCCGTGTGCTGCTGCGATCCTCCCGTGCTGGGCACTGCTCCCAGGAAGCCCGCACTGCTGCAGCGTCGTGGCTGATGCAGCTATTGCTCGCTTGACTGTCACCTCCTCTCCCTGCTGCCCCCCTCCCCTGTGTGGTGTGGGGTTGTGCAAAGAGGAAAACATCCCCTCTCCTCCCTCCCTCTCCCGGAGCGCCCGTGGTTGTGTCAACACAGCGGGAGACGGGGGCGGTTGGTCTGCCCTGAGGCTGGATCCTTTTCCCAGCAGTGCCCAGACTGAGCTTCGCATCCTCCCCACTACCACCCCCTCCCACAGGGAAAGCTCCATCCCGCAGCACCTCCCGACAATGCCCTTGGGAGCACCCCCTATCCCCTTTGGTTGCCCCCCTCCTGCAATCCCCTAGGTTCACATCTGAAATGATAATTGCCTGGAGGGGGAAGGGGGGTGGGGAGGCTAGGGAAGGAGGGAGTACCTGGAATTAAAATATGAAAGAAAAGTGAGAAGGTTGTGGGTGAGGAGAGATAGGTGGGAGGAGCAGGGGGAGGAAGTGAGGGGAGTTTAGTTGTTAATGCCGCTCACCGTGGTCCTTCTCCGCAGGGACCCCAAAGTGCGTGTGGGGTTTGGAGGGCACAAGGTGGGGAGCAGAAACATGCATGTGATGAGGAGGGTGTTGGCCGTGGGGAGACACTTACCTTCCTAGGGCAGGGGTGAACGAGAGATTGAGAGAGTGCTGGTAGAAAGGAGAGAGGATGAAGCTGAGGAGGGATGCAGGACCTCAAGGGGAGATGATGTGTCCTCTAAGCCAACGGCGGCGGCGGCAGCAGCAGGATGGAGACGCCCCTGATAGGGCCGGGACAGCAGCATGTGACCCAGAGCTGCGATGAGTCAGGATTTAGCAAAGCTTTGCAAACAGCACGTAGGGGATGGAGAGGGAGAGAAAGGCAGGCAGCAAGGGATAGACGTAGACAGACTAGGGTGAGGGAGCCAGGGAATAGGAGTGGGTGTGCAGGATAAACAATTCCAGTCACTCCAGGCTCATTAATTATTTTTATTCAAATCAGAAAATCTTGCAGGATTTTTGCGAGCCATAAATCGAACCACAGAACCTGTAACTCTCCCATTTTCCCTCTCGGGCCTACTGAGAATAGAACATACCAGTGCAGTGGCTGCAAAAACACTGCAGTGCCTCAGGGCAGCTTCCAGGACCAGGGTGGGTAGCCCTCCTCTTTTCTCCAGAGGTAAAATGAGGTGAAGCTGGCAACTACATCTCTCGCGTTCCCAACTGCACATGTGGGGAAAGGCATCTCCACATCCTGACAGCCTCTGGGAACAGGTGTTAAAAACAGAGGTCACTCAGTCACACCATCTTCTTGAGATTATTCCATTTCCTGAAGAGATGCATCATCCTTGAGAGCTCCTTCCATTTCCTGAAGAAGGGAAGAGGGAGAAGTTAATGACTCCATGCCTGACTTCTTTTCCTCTTTCATCACCCTTTTTGGCTAGTGGGGTTGGGAATCACGGCAGGGCTGCATGCTGGCCATCAGAACCAGGTTGCAAAGTCCAGTCTCTTTTTCAGGCTCTCCTGCACTAGGAACTGACATTCCTCACCCTTCTCCACATATAATCTGGAGGGTGGTGAGGCTTCATCAGCATGTTTGATCTTTTTTCTTTCTCTTTACTTCCTTCTTCTTCCCCCAACCATCTTGTTCTCACCTTTTCTTTTTCTTCCTGCCTTGTCTGACGGATTTTCATTGCCTCTTCCTTCTCATCTTGCTCAACTACTTCCTTGTCAAGGCGTTGCAGGTGTGGCAGCAGGGCAAGGACCTCCAGCCGGTAATTGGGTTCATCAGCACATGGATTTTCCAACAGCACCAGTGCCTGCAGTACGGGAAGAACCTGCAGTTTTTCCACCTCCTGAAAGCTACTGATCCCATTGTTCCTGAAGGAAACACAAGAGAGCAGGGGAAAGAGACCCGTGCAAGTAGTGAGATCCCTTTGGAACAGTAAGTGGACAAGATAGACAAAACAAAACTTAGCGGCATGATGGACCATAGACCACAGATCTGTCACCCAAGATCCAGATCTGCCTGCAGCTCCTCAGACTGAGGGACAAACAGAACATGTCCTCTGGATTTCTCTGTTCTCAGACAGTCCACTGAATCATGTGATATCTCCATCACCCTTTATGGTAAATGCCAGGAACTACAGGGCATTTGCAGACTGGACATAGAGAACATGATTTGAGGGATCCAATGGAGTTATGGCATGGAATAAAAAGCATGAGGTGGAGTTTGAGAGTGACTGGAGAAGCAGATATTTTCTGAGAAGCCCAGGAGAGGTCCTGACTGTTACACGCCTAAAAAACTGAGTGCTGAATGCCAGTTAAGAACAGTAAATATCAACCCATGCCTACCAGGTCTTCAATTTCCAGAAAATCCTAAAGATCTAAATGGGAGTACAGGCTGATGAAAGGATCTCTGGTCCCAACACAGAGCAGGGAAGACCCACCGTAGATTGAGATATTGCAGGCACTTCATGCTACTGGAGAATCCATCCAGGTTCTCCAGCTTGTTGTCACGCAGGTGCAGAATCTCCAGCTGCTCAAGCCCCTCGAGGCCTTCAAGGCTGCGAATGTTGGTCTGGGCCTGAGCACCAGGGAGGCAGGAAGAGAGAAGGAAAAAGGGGACACACAGGAGAGGGAACAGCAGTTATTTCTGGCCTTTAAAGCTCTTTCTACCTTTCAGACTTCCTACTACTCATAACACAGCCTTCTCTGAAGCTAGAGGTTGTTCAGGGCCTTGGCCAAGTGGTCATTCGTCTAAGTATTCAGATTCAAGGGTCAAAAGTTTGCTGCAAAAGTGTTTCCTGGAGCATCACTTGGTGTCTGAGACAAAACCACCCCAGGTGAATATTTCATTGCCAACACAGCACCCCCTTCCATGGAGTGCCAAATATGTGCCTCAGAGAGCAAAGGCGTGGAGGGGAAAGCTCTGACCTGAGCCTAAAAGGAATGTATTTAAAGGGTAAGTAACCAGACCCTCTCAGTCACATCGTCCACGTAGTCTAGGCATCTTCCAGTCAGATGCTTCTCTTGCGGGGGAAATCTACTACCAAGAAAAGAAGTCTCTTCTACTCCTCTGGTAGCAAAAGCAGGCTGTGTGCTCCTGAGAGAGGAGGGGGGTAGGGGTTGCTGGTTGGTTTGATTTTAAGATTTTTCAGTTATAATTGTTGTTATTCATCCTAGGCGCACCTTCTTGAAACAAATCTGAAAATCGTACATCAGGAAGGTTAAAATTCCCCATCATTGAATTTCATTCACTTTACTGTGATGTGGGTTAACGAAGCGGGAAAATACGAAGCTCTGAATATCGGAAATAGTTTCTCAGCACAATGTCGGCTAGAAAAGGCCACTAGAGGTCTCCTGCCCAGGCGTGGGCTCCCCGCAGTGAGAGCACCAACGATCTGTCAGGCTGCTCACCGCCTTGTGCGGCCAAGTTTGGAGCATCCCTCGTAACTGCTGCGTTCTCAGTTTGGAGTTGAGCACGGCTTCACTTGCTAATGTGGCTCGGGGCAGCCGTCTCTAAGTCTCTAAGGACGCAGACACCTGAGCGGGAAACGCGGAGAGAGGAGCTGTTGTGCTCTCTGTTCCTCATAGGTACCCAGGCAGTGATGTAGACAATACCTGAGGCTGATAAAGGGGCACAGACTGAACTGGTGGGACAGGAGAACACTTTAGGTCTGGGTCGCTCAGGAAAAGGACATTTTGTAGAAAAGGAGCATTTTAATGGAAACTGGACAAGAGAGAGTCTGGACAAAAAGAGGAAAGTTGGATATTTAGTGAAGGTCACGGGAGCAGATTTAACGGTCAAGGAGGATTAGGACATTGTACCTCAGAGGAAATTAGAAGCTGGTGTGAGTGGGGAGCTCACAGACCACTGGTTTGTAAAAAGAATAGTGACCTCCCACCACTCTCACTTTCTTCATCACTTCAGTGTGAATAGTTTAGCAGCTCAGGCCTTGCAAGCACCAGCAGGACAATGCAGAATGGACACTTTTTGGGGTTGTTTTATTCTTTTTTACCCTAAACCAAATAACATTCCGTCTGACACACCATCGCCTTACCTTACATTCCAGTTCTTCACACAGACATGATGCTACTGTTTTGTATGGAAAGCTACCACAGTATGTTGCCCATGATTCCCTCCCCACTTCCTGCACACTTCACCTTCCTCTAGTCAGCCTTTGCCACCACTGCTGCATCATGATCAGGAGCTAACACAGTCCTATTGTGACCATCAAGCTGCTGCAAGTGCCACATGGTACACAGCCAGCTTATAGTCTTCCTGTTAGTACCTATAACTTTTTGCATACTAAATTTCATCTCTAGCTACATTATACATTAACCAAATGTGGTTCAGTTTCTTTAAACTGAACCCTTTGTCTTGAACCCTGTCTTTGAGGCATCAGTTGCACCTACCCAAGGCTGAAGTAACACAAAAATCTTTATAGAGAAAGAAAACCATTGCTGGGAGAGATTTCCTTGCAAAAGGATGTAATGAGCATGTGGACTTGGGAGACAGATTCAAGACCCAAAGATTCATGAGAGTCAGTTGTTTTAGTTTTAATACAACAATGCAATTTTCCTGCTTCATATGGGCAGCTCAGAAACCCCTCAGTCATACCAGGAACCTTCTTTAAATACAGATGCTGTGTTTGCTTCCCTCCAATAACTCACTGAAGTGTCTAGGTATGCTTTGAAATGCTGTATTGTATCTAGTGACTTATCCACTTCACCCATTCTTTGAGAACCTAAACCCACAGTTTTCCACTAGAAAATTGCAGGCACTCTCAGCAAGCAATCTCCTCAGTGTTTTCTGCCAGAAAGTCTTGATGAAAAGAAACCACATAGGTTTTCAAAGCCTTTATCATATTTAATTGCTTTTTAAGAAGTAGTGGCTCAGGTTATCTATCTAGTCTTTGCAAGCTGTAGCAGCACTGTTTGATGCATGGCCATACATAAAGATAAGCCATACATATACATACACACAGACCATGCTTACTCCCTTCACTTGCTTCTCTAGTAGTAAATGTTCTCTGAAGCAATTGTTTATGATATTAGGAAATTGCTTCTCCTACCTAAGTTTCACTGTGATGTTCCATCAGTTTTCCTTTTTGGCAGCTGAAGGTCTGAATCATGTCATTGTGCTGGTTTTAAACCAGTGTTTGATTAGGCCCATCAGAGAGAAGAAAGAGGCACCTCCCAGTGTTACCCAGAACAAAACTGTTGCTTTGCCCAGTGATCTCTGGTGGTCCCAGGACACATGGAATACGAGTTTGCCTAATACCACCTGAAAGGAAAACTGCTCTCCCGCAGGAGGTCATGAGGGAAGAACCTGACACACCGAACGTTGCTGACTCCTCTGCAGTTTGTGGTTAGTGGCTGCTTCCTTCGCGCTATCTGGGCCCACAGAGTAGGTGGAGCTACTCCAAAGAAGTGATTTGGTCTCTTTAGCTCTCTGAAATCTGTTGCTCCGTCAGGCTGAAAAGATTAAACTCCCTTCCTCCCACTGGCTGGAAGTGCCAAGCTCTGCAGCCAGGCTCTGTCCCACTCCCCATGCTGACTGATACCTTACCAGATAGAGTTTCTTGAGCTTGGGAAGACTGAGCCCTCCTACGCTCTTTAGTTTGTTTCCTCGCAGCTCCAGGACTTGCAGGCTGAACAACTGGTCCTGACTCAGGCCCAACATTGTCTGGATTTTATTTTCTGAGTGTCAGAGGAAGAAGAAACAACAAGAGAGTTAATCCCAACCCCAAGAGTGTCCCCACAACAGTGAAGAGAGGTGGTCTGTGTCACCTTTCAGGCTGAGGGTGGCTAAGCGGGGGTGAGTGATGCCTTCCATATCCTTGATGCGGTTGCGATCAAAGCTGATGACCTGGAGATAGGAGAGCTCCTGCATGCAGGCACTGGTGAGCAGGTTCCCATCCACCTTCAGCCAAAGCAGCTCTGTTAGGCCGCTTAGTGGAGACAAATCTTGCAGCTTGTTCTCTGACAAATCCACATACCGCAGGTGAATGAAGCTTTTGAGCAGGCTGATGTCTGTCAAGTTCCTGAGGGAGGGAGAATGTTAATGAAACACCTCTCATATTTCCCCACCACCCCACCAGCTTTTTGGCTTGCTCGTTGCGACTACTGGAGGGAGGGCAACCTCCTCTTGCATTTCCCTGCCATCCTAGAAAGACTTGCTGGAGAGAAGGAAGAAAAAGGCAAGTGATAGGGAGAGGCCAAACAGTCTGTAAACAAGGATAAATGGTAAGATTCGACCTGCTTTCCTGGCAGAGGGAGTACTTATTCCCATTGAAATGTATCTGTCAGGAGAAGGCAGAACCAGAGCAGAAAAGAGGGTAAGTTTTGGGGAAGGGTCTGTTAGACAGCAACTGTGTGCAAGGACTTTCCTAGTGGGAAAAATGGTGGTTCAGATATGTATGAGGCTGCTGAAAGAAACAGTCTTAGTGAGGCCTATTAGTTAGGTCCAGGTAATCTGGGTGCGCTGATCCAGAGGCGATTGTGGCACTGTACTTACAACTGCATGCCTTAAAGGTTGGCAGCGAATGGGACAGATGTTAATGGATTTTCTCAGAGTGCCTGTAGGAAGGTCACCCGGTTCAGGTTCCCCTTAGGAGACCGCAGTCCAGAGCAATGGGCAGGCTCCCCTCAATCCTGAGAGACACTGATGTCCCACTGGTGTGTGGCTGTGGTGGAGGCTGTGCCCAGCTCAGGGCTGAGGATGGACAGGCTGTGCTGAGGCACAGACTGGCAGCCAGGCGGCTGGAGGGCAGTGCCTGGAAACACTCCTGCCCCGCATGGCCTGTCACCAGTTTATGGCACAGCTGCTCCATGGCTGCGGACGGCCATGGAGCTTCTGCTGGGGCAGGTGCCGCACACTCACTTTCCTTTGGCTTCCAACTTCACGTAGGTGTGGGACAGCCCGTTGCCCGTCTTACAGAGGAGAGACAGGCCCTCCTTCAGGACTTCCTCCGTCAGAGGACAGGGAGCCGGCACCTGGGAGAGGAGAAGAGAGCACAACACCATCGCTGGCCTACGCACAGCCAGGCGGTGCTGAGGGCCACCCCCTCACCTCTTCTTCCTCCTTCTCCTCTTCCTCGCCCTCCTTTTTCTCTTTCTCCTCCTCGTCGTCCTCCTTCTCCCCCTCTTCCTCCTCCTCCTCAGGGCTGTGCTCCTCCATCCTCCCAGGATAGGACCTCTTCCCGCGGAGGCAGCTTCCCGAGGCCCGGCGGCGCGGGCCGCGGCTCCCGCTGCCATGGGAACCGGAGGCGGGCACGGCTTCCCGGGAGCGGCGCGGAGCCGCCGGGGCGGGCTCGCTGCGTCCCGGGGCACCGTGTCCTTTGCGTAGTCACTTCCACATGGAATGCTCAGAGCGCGTCCCGCCGTCATCAGAAGCAGTTTGCCATCCCGCTCCACCTTCCCATGTGTGCGACATCTGCAGTTGTTAGTGTATCCAGAGAACTGAAGGATTATTTTGGTGGGAAGCGACCGCTGGAGGCCATCCTGTGTGCAGCCCAGCCCAAAAAATGGAGCCAGCTTCAAAGTCAGCCTGAGCTGCAAAGGGTGGTGATCACTCAGGCGATGAATGTCCTGAGGAAAGACATTCCCTCCAGTAAATGTTTAATTAACATGTTGAGCAGAATTGAGCTCGAGGTCTTCATGAAACCTCCCCAGACATGACTGCCTGGATGCCAGGAAGGAGCTTTTGGGGTCCACTGCTCCAGCCCTCTGCTCCAGGCTGTGGAGATGGGAAAGGATGAGGCTGCCCATGCCCAGCCAAAGCCAACGGTGCCTGCAAGAGCCAGATATTTACCAGCTGGGAATGTTACTCAGAGCTGATGGTCACCAGTGATTTGCAGTCAATACAAAGTCCAAGGTCCTGCTCCCTTTCCCTCCAGTGGACTTCGCTCCTCTGCAGTCCCCGGGAAATGTCAGTGTTAGATAAGCCGGTCCAAGTGGAGCTGGATGTCAGACACAAGTGTGCCAGCCATCACCCCTCCTGCAAAGCACTCCTCTGTGCTGAGGGCTGCATGGCAAGCTGCCACCTGTGTCCCACTGGATTATCCAGTTGTCCCACTGGACACCCTGGTGCCAACCCCTTCTCCTGTGCTACATTTGGCCCATCTGAATTCAATCCCTGCTCATTATTGTAGAATTGCAGAATGATTTGGGGTGGAAGGAATCTTAAAGATACGTAGTTCCAACCCCCCTTGCCATGGGCAGGGATGGAACCCATTAGACCAGGTTACTGAGGGCCCCATCCAACCTGGCCTTGAAGACCTCCACGGATTGGGCATCCACAGCTCCTCTGAGCAACCTATTCCAGTGCCTCACCACTCTCACAGTGAAGAATTAACCTGCATATGAACCTTTCCTTTCCTGCCTTTGATTCCTGCCCTAAATATCCTCCAGTTACAGGAGGAAAGCCAAATCTTTAAAGAGAGAAATTTTATTTAGGTTATATATGTATGAAAAGAAGGATCCCAAACCTAACTATACTGGTCTTTAGGGAGGTCATGTGCTAAAAGCTGGCCTGCATACCAGGAGCACAGGATGATGATGGCAGAGGGGAAACCCAAGCAGCACCCTGCCAGGCCTATCCCCAGTGGCCGGCAGCCCACCAGAGGCCCATCTTGAGGAGCACAGGGACACAATGGCAGATGAGAGCCCAAATTAAGGACTCATAGAAAAGGACGCCATGTCTGACCCCCTCCTAGGGCTGTCCCAGGGGATCCTGACTCCCAGAGCACCTTTAGGAGTGGGATGTCACTGGGTTCAGGGGTGTGGGACACAGGATGGGATGCAGGGGAAGAGCATTTGGGGATTGCACAGGACTCAGTAGGGAGTGTTTACATCAGGAACCAGAGGCAGGAAAGGGAGTGATCCAGATGACTTGTGGGGAAACAAGTATGGGATACAGGAATAAAAAGGGCAGTCCTGTGTAAATGGTTTGTGATGGTTTGGCCATGCCCTGTACCTGATTAGTGCAGCCTGTCCCATCTTCTCATTAAACTCCTTTCACAATGTGCCCTGGGTGAGGGACCTGTGGCCAGAGCACCACAGGGAGTTGGCTGCTGGGGACCAGGAAGACTAGAGAGATTGGGATTGGGGGGCAGCTGCTGGGCACTGCCTGAACCCAGCTGCTGGATGGACACACTGTACATGTGTGTATATACGTATATAAATGCAAATATATACATGGGTGCACACGAGTGTACTTCCATCCCACTCAGCCAGAACAGGGGGTGGCATGAGGCTGCTGGCACTGCGTGTGAGTGCTTGTGTGGCTGGATGTGTAATCTGTGCAGCCATCCATGGTTATATGGTTAACTGATGTGTATTCACAATCACAGAATATTCTGACTTGGAAGGGACCCACAAGGACCTGTCAATGTGTGTGTGGTGCCTACTGGAAATACAAGCTCAGCCTGGCTATCGTTTGGGGCTGAGGACACGGAGCCACCACAGCCTCTCTTGGATTGTTACATCTGGCACAATGCATTTTTTCCCAACAGCAACCTGTTTAAGATTCAACCACTACACTTTGCAGGGAGGATCTGGCAGTATTTCCACTCCACAGAGCTGCAGTCCTGCCAGAAAGCAGACAAAACAGAAGAAAAACAAGATTTGGCACTCCTGCTGATACAGAAATGATTTTCCTTGAGTTTATTCCTCATTAAATGAATGCTTTCGTGCCTCTGTGTTCTCCTCAAAGCAGCCAAGATCAATGCTCAGCTCCCATCTGTTTTTTTCTATGTAGGTCACTCTCCTGGGCTCTTGTGCTGTGGGCAGGGCTGGACAGGAGCAGGAACTGACAGTGTAGCTTCAGCCAGCAGCCAATCCCTGTGAATGATTCTACCCACTCCCAGCAGCCTTAGGCCCCCTCCATATTCCTGCTGCATCACCACTGCTCTGGCCATGCTGACCCCATGGCACTGACTGCAGCCATGGCCCAGCAGCCTCTCAGAAACACACACTCTGGTTGTAGACAATACAGCTTTCAGATTTTTTTCACCTTTGAATTATCCACCTCCTCCTCCCCACATCACTCCACAAGCACCCAGAGCTGGGAGCTGCCACCTCCCTCCTTGATGCTGTCAGGCTCTTCTTTCTTAGACCACCTGACATCCTTCCATTTCGGATAACCTTGCTCTCACCACCCAGGGCTTCCTAACAGTGCTTATCCCACTGCCACCCACCAGTTTCAGCGCCATTTTAGCCTGTCCTTCCACCAGAAGCTGTGGCAGCAGAGGGCTCTGCTCTGCTTCCAACTGGGAAGAAGATGCCTCTGAAGGGCTGAGGGCTTTTTCTTTCCCATCTGCTCCAGCTGGGCAGCAGGAACCCCCCAGCAGCAGCTAGGTAGAAGCCCATGCAGCATTAGGCTTTCTCCTCCTTGGTCCTCAGCTCCTGCCTCTCATCCCTCAGGTGATGCTGGCACTTACAGCTGGAACACTGCCCCTACACTCCCAAGGATACAGCGCCTCATAGCTAAGCTCCTCCTTGTGAGGCACTTCCTTTTTCGTCACCCTTAGCACTACTGGAAAAAATCAGCAGCGGGGAAGTAACATCTAGTCTTGTGTCCTCGCCCACCAGCACAGCTGAAAGCAGGCAGCAAGCACAGCCTCAACACACAGCCTAAAATCCTTCCCTGCACAGGGAGGGAACTGCTCACTCCACATTTAATGAGCAGCGAATTACCAGTGCTCACAGGCAGAGCACAGGGATGAGCACATTACGGAGCCTGCCTGGAAAGACTGGCTCACTAGTGGGACAGCCAGGTGCTCCAGTGACTACTGGAATAGAGACACTGATGGAAAAGATAGAGTCAAATCATCACAGGCCCAAAGAAGAGCTGTTACATGACAAGCCAGATGCAGGCTGAATGTGTGCAGTGCCTACTGGGGCAATGGTGGGCCCTCAAGGAAGAGCCCACAAAAACCACACTACCCTCTCTGCAACCAGCCACCTCCAAAAGCACCAGGTTCTTTATGCTGCCTGTCCCCAGCTGCTTCCAAATAAGATCCAGGACACACCCTTGCTTTTTCAGTTTTTCCTTTATTGTTCAGTACGGGACACAGGTGAGGTAAGACATCTCACAAGGGTCTAAGCTGACAGGCTCCTTGCTGATGGAGCTGAAGGATGCAGACTGTGTGGTTCCTTCCCCCAGCACCAGTGGTCCCCTCCACTGCAGTACTGCAGGGAAAGGGGGAGATACTGGCCAGGTGGGCTGCGGGCTCTTAACAGGTCAACAGGCAACTGAGGATTCTGCCAATTCAGAGAGGAGGCTGTCAAGACTTTGCTGAGACAGGCTCCCACTAACAGGACTCCAACATGGTGGGGGGTGGTTAGCAGAACAACTAGAACAACAACCGTGGAGGGGGAAAGCCTTGGAGGAGGCCTCCGTACTGAGACGTGTGCAATGAAAGGTCCCTTCTTGTTTCCATTTCTTAACCACAAGGGACTGCTCCTCACAGGTGCTTCAGTGTTTGGCATTGATAATATCCACAAACTCTGGCTTGAGAGAAGCTCCACCAACAAGGAAGCCATCCACATCATGCTGAGAGGCCAGCTCCTTACAGTTGCTACCAGTGACCGAACCTAAAGAGGGAGCAGTATTTTAAGGTCAGATGCAGCCAGCTCTAGAAAAATGGGGCCAGGACAAAGGCAAGACCTGCAAGGTACCAGCCACCTCTTGCAGACAGCAAGACTGTCTCCCATTTACCCAAGTAAGCTAACAAACAAGCTAATAGGTGGTTCTTCATGCTCTGACAGTCTCAAGTTTCCTCACGAAGCAGAGCATGATGTACAACTGGCAGGAACAGGTAGAGAAACTAAGCACTTTCCTGCCCTGGAAAGTGGCTTCAGACTCACCGCCATAGATAATCCTAGTTGACTGAGCAACAGCATCAGACACGTGGCTTTTCAGCCACCCCCGCAGCTTCTCGTGAACTTCCTGAGCCTGCAATAGAAAACAAGAGTCCCACTGAGGGCTGAGCCATTCTGCACACAATTCCCTTCCAAAGAGAAGGGAAACGTTAGATAATGTCTCAATCCTTAAGTCTAAAATTCTCTAAGTCGCTAAGGACCTTCAGAAAATTGTCACTAAGAATCCCCAGGAAGATTTCTTGAGTGGGAAGGGTCAGTTGGCATCAAATCAGCCACCTTTCCCCTGCTCCTACCTGTTGGGGAGTTGCAGTTTTACCAGTTCCAATAGCCCAAACTGGCTCATAGGCAAGAACCACTTTACTCCAGTCCTTCACATTATCTAGGGAGGAGGGAGAAGATATAGGTGAGAACAATACCCCTATGCTGGGAAGAGCACAGCTCTTCTGATAACCGATAAAAAGAACACCCATATTTTTTTCTCTTACCTGCAATAGCCTTGGTCTGTTCAAAAACGACCTTCTCTGTTATGCCAGCTTCTCTCTCATCCAGCTTCTCTCCAATGCAGGCAATAACTCCAAGGCCCTCAGCCAGAGCATGAGCCACCTTCTGCCCAATCAACTGGGAACGGAAAAGAAACAAGGCAACCGATAAACCAGAGCTACTCCTGTAGTACTGTTTTAAGTGCTCACCCTTCCAGTCTTTGCAGGCCCATCTAAGCAGGACCATCTCACCATTCCACAAGGTCACTCACCTCATCAGACTCTCCAAAAACATGCCTTCGCTCTGAGTGGCCCAGGATCACCCATGCAGCTCCAATATCTTTGATCATTGCTGGGCTGAAGAGAAAGGACATGACTCACACCTCTGGAGGAAATTCAGGTCTCAGGGGCATCCTGACTTTACTCTTTCTCCAGGGCTCACCTGATCTCTCCTGTGAAAGCACCCTTTGGTACCTTGTAGCAGTTCTGTGCTGCGACTGCAATCTTTGCATCAAGCTTCTGACGGGCAAAGTCAAGGTAGATGGCAGGGGCTCCACAAACCACCTCTGGAAGGCAAAGCACACGGTTACCCTTGAGACAGGCAAAGGGCAGAAACTGGACCTAGTCACTGACCCCAAGAGGTCATCCCTCTCTCCCGGGAAGGCTCAGCCTGCCCCTCCTCGCTGACCTTTGGGGGGCCCTGTGCCGCAGGACTATCGTGGCTATCCGATGACTCAACAGAGGGGAGGAAAGCTCTTTTCAGCGGGCTGACAGGCGATACCAGGCCGCTGACCAGGTCACAGGGGTCCCTTGGAAAGAGCCCAACTGAGAAACCGGTCGAGAATCCCACCCTGCGGGACGGGTCTGACCTGGCCGAACCGGGGAGGGCCGCACCGGGCTCCGCCTGGGGCTATGACCGGGCTCGGCGGCGGGGCAGGGGCAGCGCGGCTGCAGCACGGTGCTCCGCGACTGCCGGTGGCAGCGGGCTGGGGGCCGGGCCGGGCGGGAGCGCGGAGCCGCCGGGGCCCGCGGGAGCCGGGGGTGCAGCCGGGGCGCCCCGGGGTTCGGCCGCACGTGTCCGCCAGGCCCGCGGAATCCCGGATCCGGTTTCGCGGGTATATTTAGCGCCACTGCCAGCGGGTTATATTTAGGCCCCCGCCGCCCTCTGACATTTGCCGCTCCCCCGTCCGGGCCCGGCCCGGTGCCGCCGGGCCGTGCGGGACGTGCGCTACGTGCGGGCCGCGCCCTCACCGGTGTCGGCGGAGAGCTTGGCGCCGTTCAGCGTGTGGATGAGCTCGCCCAGGCTCTTCTTGTCGCCGTTCATCTTCCAGTTGCCCCCCACGAAGAACTTCCTGGGCGCCATGGCGGGAGGGACGGCGGGCGCGAGCGGGGCCGGTACCGGAGGAGAGGCGAAGGTCAGCGGCGGCGGCGCGCGCCCAACCCGGCGCCCGCTCTTATAGCCCGGCGGCGCGCGCGGCCCCGCCCCCCGCTGGCCCCGCCCCCCCGCCCGCGCTTCGCCTCAGCGAGGCGGAGACAGACAGACAGACAGAGGGGGGTATTTCGACTTTTATTTTGTCCCTCGTGTATTTTGGCATGTAAAGGGCACACAGGGGGAAGCGCTGCTCGTGGCCCACCTTGCTGCCTGCCCTGCGCCCCCGCCCGGCAGGGCAGGCAGGAGGAACCCCCCCCATACACAAGCCACACGTAACACACAAGCCCCCTCCTCTCCTTTCGGACAGCAAGGAGGTGGCATCGTCCCACCAAGCAGCGAAGCACTAGGGCTGTGTGTCACGGGGGTGGGGACAGTGAGGACATTTCCTAGAGAAAC